CTTATGACTACCATATTCCAAAAGGGACCTGCAACAGACCTACTACAAAAAACAAAATCCACAATCACTAAGCAACATCACTACATAGCCAACATAGATACAGTTTGCAACTCACCAAAAACTATACAAGCAAAAATCTACTTTACATAGAAAATTAATAACAAAGATACCTTCACTGCTCAAATCACTCAATGGCAATTATATACAAGAGCAATCTGTACTGCAATAATTACTATACTCATCACCCTCCTATTAGATTGCATACTTACTATAGCTATATCCTCAAATACTATTATCAATACCTACAATCTACTCAACCTACAAACATCACATCGAATTAACAAAATACAGAAAAATAAACATTGGCCACTCTGGCATCTCATCTTCATTATACTTGCTCGAACAGATATCAAACTACAAATAATTCTCTCAGACTAACAAATCCTACCACATACTAACCTCTCTAGCATACCACACCTTGTCTTTCTTAATACTAATATCGACTATAATATAGTTATACCCCACCTTCATCAGAACATAATTGACAACAGAGTATGAACTATTATCAAACACATACAATAAGCCAACCATACTGCAACTTGGCACTCACAAAAATGTACAGAAAACTAGAACAATATAAGCACTGATATAGACTGGAATGCATTCTATAAATATATCAATATTCACAACACTTCTAACAGCCTTTACACTTTATCTAAATACTCTATACTAAAAGCATTCAAACTAAAATTTCTACTAGATGAACTCCCAATACAACAAAATCTTTTAATTCGCCATTCTAACAAAATAAATACAAATATCTATTAATGCTGCAGCACAACCACTGAAACTAACAACCATTAGATTACATATGACAAAAACCTTAACAATATCTCAACTATCATCGAAACAGTTACCACCAAATATATAAACAAACATATTAAACTTTCTAAGATTCTATTGCAGATATCATCCATATCTCCCTACAGCATCTCAGTATACCATCAGAAAACATCTCTAACAACTTATATACTACTCTTCATGGCCTTATTCCAATAGCTCTCACCACTCACTTCTCACAAAGCCTAACTGCCAAAAGTAAAGATATACCGCACTCTGCTCACCTTTTACACAAGATCATACACAAAGCATACCAACAGATCTGGATCTCATGATGCCAACAACTATCTAATACTACCCAACTCAACAACACTATTACACAGACTACTACCTCACAAACTACTAGCAGCCCTAATACCAAACAAGCAAAAGTTCAAATAATAAAAGATAAAACAAGAATATGGTCTGAAGTCTACACTAAATACAATATTACTGATACATTTATAGCAAAAATCCAACTGCAAATCTAGATGAGGCTGATAGCCTACTCTAGTAGAATACAGGCCGAGAGGTAAACTAGCCCTAGCTTAAGTAACAGTAGTTTATTAATGTAATACAATATTTGTACTTATATTATAAAACTCAATAAAATCTAAGGCAAGGCCTTATTCTATAAAAAAAAAAAAAAAGTACTAATGATATATAGAAAACACCTTTCTTCAGTTCATATAATATGCTCTTTAGAAAGAGCTCCAGAATCTAATCTATATACAATCTATTGATTTTTGCAAGGTAACATTTCTCTAAGCAAAAACTAACATGCTCTTGAGTTATATTCAGGATCAATTAGAGCCTTCTTAAGTACAAATGAACCTGCTAATTGGTACTATGAAATATTAATTGATGCAAACAACTGTTTAAAAAGAATAAACTCTATATTTAAACAATATGCAACCTTCTATAATATCAACAGACCAACACTATCTAATCTAGTTCAAATACTACTTTCTTTTGCAAAAATATTACAAAATAATCGAAATACTACTTTAACAAATAATACAACAATTCCTAACTTAGTAATCTCAATTAATGATTTCCCTCCTGAAATATATAACAAAGATCATAGATACTACAGATTAATAGCTAGATTTATAGAACTAAACAACCTAATACTTTCAATATCTTATGGTAATCCTGACCTAGAAGCGTTAATTTTCTCTAACCTTTTTTTAACTAGAAAAGGCTATTACGAGCAGATAAAACATAACCTAAACTTTCAAAAAAATACTGAAAGTTATGGAAAATATATCAAACTTAGAATACTCTGTTCAGATTCAAGATTCAGATTATATTAGTATTAGCTATATTGGTCTTATTTAAATTTTAAAAAAAATGCAACTTTTAATATAATTGTTAAATACTAAACTAAAGAAATATATCACGTGAATATCATCTAACAAGAGCTGACTTAATAACTAAAAGCATATATACTAGTTAACTAATAATAAATGAATCAATAACAACTTCATTATAATTATCATTATATACTGCATCACTATACTTTAAAAAAAAAGAGCTTCAAGTAAATACAATATTATCCTTCTATAGTCTTCCTCAAATATTTTACACACTTACAATAGCTGAAAACAAATAGGATCATCTAAAACAAATCTTACTTACAACTGATAATCAAGATCCTCTACCAACTAATCATTCATTACATGTCTATTTATTTTATAATCACAAACTTGTCAATCTACACAAAAAATTATGAAGAAATAAAAAATTAATACAATAGAGAAAATTAGAAAACTACTTTGAGCATGATGAATTTCAAAATAGAGATACTATTTACACACATAGTTTTGCTTATATTAGTATTAAAATCTCAGAATTAATTATGAAAAATACCATACATGCTGACCTACTAGACCAATACTCAGAACCTAAACTATATCAATTAGTCATAGTCTATCAAATTCATAATTGTCATCCTAACAAATGTAGTAGTCCAAACTCTTATAGAACACCTTGTAAGAAAGGATTTCCATAACCATTATTAGATACAATATACAAAGACAATAGATCACTTTAATACACGTATAGAAAAACAAAAGAACAAGACTATTAGGTAGTACTATATCACCCAGAAACTTTATTAATTTGAGAAGGATATGTAAACTTCCAATATATAACTACAACAGGATTTGCAAAATATATCACAAAATATATAACTAAACCTGAACTATCAGATATTTTTGATATTGATGACTATGATATCTACTAAACCTATATTCAAGTAAGAAGATTAGAAGCAATAGAATTAATAGTCTTAATCTTGCAAAACCAAATAACAAGATCTACTGTTAATGTCTAATACTTACTCTTAGCATCCTCTAATAAACAAGATAAAGCTATAAAACCTATTCACCTACAATTAGCTAATATTGAAGACAGTGATGACAATAATAATGAAAAACCTTACTGGGATGATGCAATAGATAAATATTTTGATTATCTAATTGCAGATAACTTCAGAAATATTACATACTCTCAGTATTTCCAAAATTACAATTTAAGATTAAAACCACTTTTTCAAAACACAAAACTATTCTAAACAATCAATCAAAAAAACCAATATATAATCCAAAGAACTAAACTACTACTTCTAGGATTCTTTATCTATAAAGTAGATGATAGTGAATCTTTTTTCTTTCAACATCTTATAATGAAAATACTATATTATTCAGAAGAAAAACTTCTCAGAGAATATTCATCATATCATAACAAATTTTAATCACTATTCCTACATCAATATAAACTCACAATAATCAAAATAAATAATACTACTTCAATATCAAAAAGGTTTAACATCTCTAATGCATATAAAGAAATTGTTAATCAAATTATATCTACTCTAAATAATGAAGAACTTCAAGAATTAATCCTCAAACAACTAATTGCATTAGAATATAAAACTCTATCCATAAATCCTCACTACTCTTTAACTTTAGATAATGATCAATATAAAGTTTACGATATTCTCTATAATACCTGAGGATCTGAACACAAAAAAAAATATCTATACTTTTTTCTAACAAGATCAGCAGGTATAGGAAAATTCTATATATTACTGCTAATTATTCACTTTCTATTATCGAAAAGAATTAATTATCTTTTAATTGCTCTAATTAGAATAGCAGTACAAAACATCAGAAGAAAAACTATTTATTCCGTACTTAAAATTAGACAAACCCAATCCTACTATGAAACTCTAGCTAATTTTGATAAAAACATGAAATCATTTCTTCATAATATTGAAGTTCTTATAAAGAAGAAGTATCTATAGTCGATGCTAATTTATTAATATTCATTAGTAACATGTTTGGATCTCTATTTAATAATTTAAAAATATTCAGTAGTATATCAGTACTTCTAGTAGAAAACCTTGCTTAACTACCTTCTGTTAATAGTCAACTTGTATTTTACTCTTCTATTTGGAAAAAATTTTTTTCACTATTTTTAACCCAACTTCAATAACAATAGTCTGACCTTGTTTTTTACAATTTACTTCAAGAATTATATTATGGCTGCTTATTACAGGAATCTGTGATAGAATAGATAAATTTTGTGTTGGTATTAATTTTTGTAACATCATGTGGTAATGGTGGTCTGCTAACAAAGTAGTTATTTGATATCATTTTGAAAGTGTAATCTTTTCGTAATAAGGTAACAATTTTGGTGAGATTAGTTTTCAGATCGTTGGTATTTAGTGGGAAGAGTACTCTCAGAGTGTGGTTGAGCTTGTAGTAAGTACTTGGTAATGGAGCTTTTGGGGCAGGTAGGTCGAAGTATGTTTCTGGTAGATTACCCTTAAAGTTATAGAAATTGCGAAGTTTGTTGCAGTAGAAGGATAAGTAATTAAGATTTTTTCATTTAGTGATTAGAAAGAATTTTTTTAGCTCTTGATCGAGATCCATAGAGTCATTTGGAAGAGGTAGTAGTTTGATAAAATAGGTTTCAGGAAGTTGTGTAAAGGAGAAGATTTTTCTTAGTACTATGACCGTTCTTTTTGTATTGTTACAATTGACAATTAGAAGTTCAAATGGTAATAGTTTCTTCATTTCATTAGAGATCATAGAGGGGTCGCTAGATAGTGGTATAAGGAGTAATATTTGTGCTTTGTTAATAGCTTGTTTTAGGTCATTCTATTCGATTTTGTCTAGTTGTAGGAACCCCCTACAGTATTGAATAATTTTGGATATGTTGAAGTTGTCTAGTCAAGTGAAATTGCTGTTAAGTAGAAATTGAATGGTTAAATGTGTTTTGAGTATTTTTGTAATCATATTTTTTGTTTCTCAGTTGATGATTATGATGTTGTTGGTATGTTTGTAAGTATTAGTCGTAGTGGTGAGCATGTTCTCAAATTCTTTTTGATGTGCAGGAATGTTCTGTTTGTTGCAAGTAAAGGATGTAAAGAATTGGGTATCAAGGTGTTTAAACTTGAGGAGTATTGCTAATAGTATAATATAAGGAGTTGGTCGTGTTTGGAGTTTGTATATTATGAATTCTTGGGTGATTCTAGTGATTTAGCTATACGTTCATAGTGCTAAGCAGTTGTATCAAAATTAATAAGATTAGATTTCATGTTATTCATAAGCTTATTTGGCCATGTATCACTATCATCTCTATTATCAATATAAGGCCTTGAAGCTGAGCTGGAGTTGTTTTGTAAAGCTTGACTGTAAGAGGGTTTTGTGTACTCAGTTTTAGATTGTGTTTCCATTTGGTCGTCATTTGGAAGTTTCTCTTCTATTTCATTGTCATCCATTAGTGTATCACGTGTTTTAATAGAGAAAGGTGATATTGGTCAATCGGTATGTGTTTGATGTTGTGTTAGAGATATGAATTGGATGTCTGTATCATCTTCCATTTGGTCAGCTCATGATTGGAGTGGTTCTGTATTATGTTGTTCCTCGCTTTGTGTTTCCTTGCTCCTTGTGTTGTGCTTAGTTGTATTGGAGTTTGTGCTAGGTTTCTCATAGTCTCTAAGCTCATTTTGAGTAGTCTGTGTTTTGTTTGTTGAGCTGGTGTTACTACTATTGGCATTATTTGTGTTATTAGTAGATGTACCACTAGTTTCAGGAGAAGGCACATGAGTATTTGGCTGAGTAGTAATCAGAGTATTAGTAGTATTAGTAAAGTTTTCGTAGGAGAGTGTTGAGAGAGCTGATGTATTTTCTTGCTTATTTGCTTTGAGATATTGTGTTTTTGTTTGGGCGTAGATTTTAACAAGAGAGAAGTTGTGAGTTTCACAAGTTGGAATTTTTATTGCAGAGATTGTAGTTGTATTTTGATTTCTAACTTTTTTAAGTATAAAGAGAAGTGTGTTAGTTTTGCTAGTGTATATCTAATACTTCAGAAATTGTGTGATATTATTGATGACAGTTGATTTTTGTGCATCGATGTAGTAGGTGTGTGCATTGTTAAGGAGTTCTAGAGTAAAATAAACTTGAAAGGTTAGTTTATCAGTATCATACATTACAATATCGAGGATGTGTTTAGCTGGTTCATTGTTGTTTATTGTATTGCTTTGTTGAAATATGTAGTTCGTATTTGTAGTCTCTATATCTGAAGTGTTGTTGTTGTTGTTGTTTTCATTATTATTTGTTGTGTTGTTAGAACTAATGTCATCAACAAGATGATGTTTTTTCGTTCTTTCCCTGTTCCCTATAGTTGAAGATATAGTATTTGAGTAGTTGGTTTTAGGAGTTAGTGATTGTCTTTTCAGTAAGTTGTTGTCTTTTTTATTTAGGCCTTCCCAAAGAGAAGAGTTTTCAGTATTAGTTGTATTGTTGTTTTTTCTTTTTCTTGTTTTTTGCAGTATGGTTGTTGAGCAGTACAGGAAAGAGTTTTTTTTTTTTATATCATTAGTACTTAATTAATTTTAGAAGGTGTAGGAGCTAAAATTAGAGAAAATTTTCTAGTTTTTGGGTTTTTATAGCTACTACAAATAGCAACTTTAGTTGGTTATTCATCTTCAAGCTCACAGAGGTAAACAGGAATTTTGAATGCTAGTGTCAATATATATTCTTCATTTTCATTATATTTAGTCTATTGAGTTGCAAAACTAAACATTAGTATAGAACAATAGCAACACAGAATATGTAGATGATCTTGTAAAATTTTATTTTGAAATTTAGCATAAAGCTTTAATAATTGTTGTGAAGGTCTTCAGAATAAAAAGAGCAAAGGTGTGATATTTATTTGATTATAATAAGATATTGTTATTAAATTATTTAGTTGAACAATTGTAATATTTTAGTTAATTTTATTATGATATGTATAGGAATTAAAGATAGTATCTATAGTTTCATTGTTTGAATCAGAAGAGGAGATGTTGTTATATGATGATATATCATAATGTTGAATAGAGTGAATAGATCTTTGCATTTAAATAATATTTAATTAGTATACTTGTTTTGTGTTTATTAAATTTTTTTATATTTTATTTTTGATTCGATATTTTAGCTGAATAAGAAAAAGGAATAATTTTGAGTATTTATATAGGTAATTTAATTATGTAGATGAGTTAATTACCAATACTTAATTAAGTAACTCAAGAATTCTAACATATTTATTTTATAAAATTAGCTTAATTTATTTGATATATAAGATTTGGTTAAACTTATAACTCATATTTTTTAATTAATTAATTTTTTTTTTGGTTTCTTTAATAAGTTAAATTTTTAAATCTTCGATCGAGTATAAAGTTCTTTGTTTATTAATATAGAAGTATAGATAGGATAATTTAAACTATTAATATAATTTCAGCATTTAAATGTATCTAATTCTTAAGATTAGCTTTTTATTTGATGAGCAAGTTTTGGATGACTACATAGTAAGTATTCTTTTATTATTTGTTTAGCTTTTTAATTTTTTTTAATAAATTTTCAAATTATTTTTTTGTATATAAAGTGTTTAGTTTAGTAATATAAGGTATTTATAATTATTTTTTTGTTTGTTTAATAAGATTTATAAGGTGTTTTATTAATTAGATGCATATAATATATATCTTTTTAGTAATATATAAGTGCATAAAAGTAAATTAGTAATTTATCACATTAAATTATTATTATTATATGCAGTTATAGATTTTTATTTTCATGTATTTGATATAGAATTTGCATATATATTAGATATCATGTGATATTAGATTTTTGTAATTGTAGACTTATGTTAAAAAAGTTAAAGCCAGTTCTAAGTTAGAACTTAACTAAGAGATTAGTTATACAGAGTATCTTTACTTAACAAATATTATTCTAATAACAGTATTATCAAAAAAAAACTTGCTATTAGGCTTTCAAGTATATTTTTGTATACAGATCGTATCTTGTAATCTATTTATAATAAATCTATTATCAGACATTTAATTATATTTTTTGTTAGACATACTCTCTGAAAATCTTGTAGTAATTATTATATTATTACAAACTATATTATAAAAATACAATAATAGTAAATTTATTTATATAGTATATTGTATTTAATTTTCCAATTAGATTTTTCAGGAGTATGTCTAGCACAAGATGAAATTAAATGTCAATAATAGATTTATCATAGATAGTATATAGGATACAATTTGTATACAAAATATATTTAAAAGCCTGATACTAGATTTTCTTTTAACAGACCTATATTCAAAATGATTGTTTTTAACTCTAATATAGAAGGTTTTAATCAAGATATTGAAAGACTTAGTCTGAGTATTAGAGTTCTTTTTTGAATTTGGCTTTCTATAGCTTGTTTAATTTCTTCTAAAGTAGGTATTTAATTTAGTTCTAATTTTTCTTATATTTTTTTTTGTATAGTTTTCTTATATGATTATGAGGTTATAATAGCAAAACTATTTTGTTATAGTCAAAATAGTTTTGTCAGGTATCATTATTAATTTTATATTAATTATTATAATTATTATTATTATATATACTAAGATTCTTAGTGATAAACATATGATTTTGATAATATTATAGCACTTTGTAAAAAGATGTGAATATGTAATTTTTGTAATAATTATAGCAGAGAATTATTGAGATTATTCAAATTTAGGAATCTATACTAATAATATAATTATATATGTATTATATTATAGTACTTTGCAATAAAGTATGACACTATAATTTTTGTGATGATAGTAGTTGGAAATTTTGAAGATTTAGATTTTATATTAATTATATATTTTAATAAACAATTATATATATTGTTTAAAATATTTAAAATTTTTGAGAATTAAAAAATTTGCTAAAATCTGCTGATTTTTTGCAATTTTATATTATATCATAATCTGCAGATGTCATATTTTATTACAAAGTACTATAATTAGAAATATTACATTATACATATATTTAAAAAATCTTTGAGATTCTTTAAAATACAAAATCTTTGTCTCATATAACAAAATAATTTGCAGTATTTATATTGTTTTGCAAAGCAAAATAATTATTCTGTAAATTTTTAGAATCTTTAGAATTCTTAGAATTTTCAGAATTTATATTATATTAGAAACTCGTAATTTTAACTAAAATCTAAAGATTTTATTTTTATATGTTAAAAATTTTTAAAATAATATTACTTATCTATTTAGAATATATATATATACAATATATATTGTAGTATAAGTAAAGCGAGTTATTTATATTAATCTAATATACATCAGATAGTTCAAATATACTATTAGCAGTATTAGTAAGTTGATCATTATCAATATCAATAATATCTGTTTGTTTATTATTTTTAGAAGTAATATTTATAGTTCCTGAATATATACAGTATATAAAAGAAATTTTTTAGTAAGAGAAGATGTTCAGATCAGATTTTAATTTTATATTACTTTGGATATTCTTTAGAATATAGTTTGATTTTATAGCTTTAGTAAATTCTACATTTATTTCAGTATTTTGGAATTGGGAGGGAGTTTCTTCAGTTTCATTACCAAGAATTAAGGTTTTTGTTTTTAAATTATTTAAAAAAATAATAAGAATATAAAATTATATAATATTTATTTTATATCATTACTTTTTGCACTTCTAAGAGTATGCTTTAGATTTGAATTAGTTTCTTAATTTTTGAATTAGGAATAAAAGTAGATTTATTTTTAAATTGTAATTTATTTTTATTAGTAAAAAGATATTTAGGATTTATTTATTGAACTTATCTTGTATGTTTCTTGTATATTTTAATTTTTTAGAGTTTAAGCCTTTTATATTTGTATCTATATTTTGTACTTAAAGAGTAATTTCTTTAGCTATATTATTCAGAACTACAATATTATCAATATTATAATCTATATCTCCTATTTGTAATAGGAATATATATTTAATAATTATTATATTATGAGATTTTGGTTTAAAAATGATTTTATAATACATAGTATCATTCTTAATACCAAAATTATATATTTTATTGTTTTAATAAGGTTAAAGTAATTATTTTAATATAATAACTAAAAAATATTTGACTTTTTTTGAATATTTCATATAGTTACTAAATTTATTTATAATAACTAAAGTGAAAGTCAAATATTTATAGTATTTAAGTATTTAAATAATTATATTTTTGATTATTGAAAATAAAGATAATATTTTTTATTTAGTTACCTTGAACATTGTTAAGTGTATTCTTTAAGCTAGCAATTTTTGAAGTATCAGCAGAATTTTGAATTAAAGAAGTATTTTCTCTTTTTTTCTGTTTGTCTTTTTGAATGTATTTTGAGATATTTTTTAAGCTAAATTTTTTTGCAATTATTTCAAGCTCTTCATATTTAGCTTTTTTATTTTGTTAGTATGATTTGGAATTTAATAAATTTGTTTGTGTTTGTGAGGTACCAGAATTTTGATATTTCTAATCAATTATATTAGCTAAAAGAAATACTGAATCAAGTAATATTACTAATTTACCAGCAACTAAGAAAATAGGTTGTCGAGTTGTAGTATCAGATACAAATTGATAACATCCTATAGAGTTATATTTACATAATATAGATATTGGAAATTGATTTGAGGTTATATTGTTATACATTTTTCTTTTTAAGCTAAAAACTGTATTATTTCCTTCTGGTTCTGATAGGTCTTAAATTGGTGCAGTAAAAATACTAAAAGCAGAAGATATTAGAAGATCATAGATGCTTGGTTCATCTTCAATTGTTGAAATATTTAAAGAGGTATTCTAGACAATAGTTACCTAAAAGAGAATAAAAATAATATATTATAAAAACTTAAAATAATAATTTTGTTGCTATTTTAAACAATAATACAAGTTGGATTAATATAAACAATAAATTAAAACAATATTCAAATTTATTTTAAGTTTTATTTTAATAAATATAGTATATAAAGTAGACATGTTGAATTTAACACAGTAGCTAATTTGACTTATTATTATTAAATAATATCTTTAATATATTTAGTATAAATAAGTAAGATTGAGTACTGTATTAAATTAGATAGTTTATTTTATTTTAAGAAAATTATTATCTTATATATAGTTCATTGTTTTCAAAAGCAAAATGACCAATATATTAGTCTTTTGAATGTTTTGAATAAGTGCTGAATCATCAGAAAAAAAAGCTTTAAATTTGTATTCATTAAATTCATTATCGCTTGTTCTATAAACTGCAGATCCAGTACAAGTTTTGTTAGTATTAGAAACATTTTTAATATAAGAAATAGCACAAAATATTGAGGCTATTATAGAATAAAAAATTTTATGATGAGAAATAAAGTGCAGATATTTTTTTTTCGAGACAAAAATATTTATAAAAAAATAAAAAAATTCTTATTTATAATAGTTATTTAGAGTAGGCTTAGAGATTATTTTATTATAATAGTTATTTAGAGCAGGCTTAAAGTTTATTTTAAAACCAGCTATAATATTTTTAAAAATATTTGTTTACAATATTTATAGTTTAATTATTCATTGCCACAAATAGTAGTACTTTATTTTTTTTTTGATATAAATAAAAATTTCTGAAGTTTTACATAAAAAATTTTTATAGTAATTTAACAATAATTATTAGAATGACTTTATAAATTAAGTTAATTTTGTTTTTTGAATTATATAAATATAAGATGTTAACTTATTTAATTATAGATATCTAAAAAGAATTTGAACTAATTATATAACTTTTATAATAAAATAAGAAAACTCTTACCCATAGATTCCAAAACTTATATACGGAGCAGAGCAAAACAAAAAATTTTTATATACAAGACTACTTATAACTAACTAAATAAAAAAACTGTTATATACAATCTACTCACACAACTACAAAGATTAAAAGAACTAGAGAGCTCACTTCTCACTCACCTACTCTCTCAAAAAAACTGTTGCTGACTATATTGGCAATATCAACATCAAAGAAAAAAACCAGAGATAGGTCTTCTAGTCTTACTGATATGCAAACTACTACACTCACAAATACTACCTACATCAATGAATACCAAAACAAAAAAAATAAAAAGAGCACTAGACTTCCTTTCTAACTTAACGAAAAAATCAAAGATACTTCAACTTCCACTATAGAAAAAAAAATATTTTTTGAAAAAAGTGGGAATTCTAGTTTATTCCTATTAACGAAACATATGACATCACTTGCACAAATAAGTTATAGAACAGATAAACAAAAAGATTATTAAAATTCTAGTAGAATTTCAAAATTCCCATGCTCTGATCTAGTCTTAACACCAAAACAACTTCTGACTAGCACTAATGATAATATAACAGATCTTGATAAAACCCTAGAAGAAGTTAATGCATATTCGACATATCTAACTTCAAATATAACACTGAATAAAGCTACAACATCTAATAGTACCTCTTCAAGAATATATAGCTCAGTAGTAATGAGTAGACTGAGGCAAAGACTAGCTATTATAAATGCAAGAAAAGACAAAGAAACAGCTTGAACACAAGCTCTCGAACTTGGACTAAAAGACTGGAGGAAGAGAAACTATAAGAATTTAGACAAAGAAAAATGGTACTACAATAGATGCTTAGAAATCTTTACATCTACCGAAAGCCTAGCTGATTTAATATTACATAAAACCCAAACTCTCCTAGCAGAATATCTAATTCCTCCTGCAATATATGCTAAGCTATACTATAAGGATAACCAATTCTTTAGTACCTTCTCTTAGTCCTCTGCAACAAAACCTCAATACCAGAAAGAATTCAATATCCTTCTAAACATGGCAATAGGAAGATATAAAGATCAACATAATGTTACAATAACAAACAAAACAAATTGAGATGAAATCTTCTACAAACTACGTCAAAAACTAGATATAGATTACTTACTATCTTTAGATCTAAATATACTCTTACCAAGAAAGATTACTAGAATAATCTTCTACCTAGCAGAATTTACAAAAATACCAATATCATACAAATTCGACGAAGCCCTAGCACAGATAGACAAATGCCTAGCTACAAACTACTTGCCCCTACCAGACAACTCTACAGATATTCCTCCACATATCACCTCATGTCTTGACTTTGCCTTACCTATAACTAACCCTCTTGATATAGGAGTTACTGTAAGAGTATTAAGAAAAGTTTTTAACTTTCAATGACTATCAGAGAGCTATATAAAAAATATATGAATCATACTTCTTGCTAGTTCAAGAAACCTCTGTATACAAGTCAAAGATCTGTTTCCCATTACAAAACAAAGTGAACTAAAAAACTTATCTGGCTACAGAAAAGCTCTAAAAGAATTCTATATCTTCGATCAAATTTCAACGAATTACTTTGACTTACCTGCACCAAAGCTATAACTACTACTAACTCCACAAGACCTTCCTCTATGCTTACAACCAAGATTCCCATTTCTTCCAAAAAACAGAGAAGATCTTCTGGAACATGTTAATTTACTTCGTCAAGATTTTGTTTTCCTCAAACTACCTAATGATTATTTTATCCCAAGATGAAAACTTCCTATAGAACCAAAAGATCTACCTCTAACAAACACCTACACTTTCCCACTTAATACAAAAGAAGAAACAAAGAAATTTCTTACAGAAATTTCAAAAATCTACATAACTCTATTTCCCTTACCAGAAAGATATTGTACTTGCAACTACATTGACCTTTCTGAGCTCTTAGAAGAAGCAGAAAAAGTAACAGAAGTAAATCTAACCCTACCTATAAATACAACAAAAGAGCTGACAATAGCATCATGAGTATTACGAGAATATTACTTCTTCCACAAGATACCAGAATCTTGGATACAAATACCTAAAAGAGACAAACTTAATCCTGATACTTCTCTGAATAATCTACAAGACTTGATTCAAATAGTTCAACTAAAATGGTTAGAGAAAAAAATAGATCTCCCAATCACAAAACATGAGGACATATCATCAACAACAAGGTTTATTACTAAAAACTTCTATTACAATAACCTTTATAACTTCATCTTCACCCTCCCTAACTTACCATCCTCTGAATAGGATATATTCATTAATTCTTCACATAGCACCAAGTCAGATGACAATAACACAATAATGAGTGAAACTCCCAAATCTGATAATGAACAATAATATAACCAACTCTACTAACTCTAACAATACTGAAACTTTATATAACAATCCTAATATTAACAAAAAAATCGAAATCACTACTCACAATATTTAAGGATTAAACAACCTAGTTAAATTACAAAACTGGATACAATACTGCAATGAAACAATTTACATATTATTTTACTAACTGAAACTAAACTCAAAAATATGAATGAATTTACTCTCACAAACTCAATTTATAAGATCTTCACTTCTAACTTCATTCTATATCAAAAACAACAGAGAGAAACAAGTTTCGGAACAGCTCTAATAATATTTCACTCATTAACACTATATATAAGAAATATCCTGATATACCTAGATATATTAATCTGAATAGACTTCTAATTCCCTAACAACAACAATATCTGCATAGTTTCACTATATCTCCCTTCAAACTATGATGATCTGCTTACGAGAACACAAAGGCAGCTAAACAACTGGATTGAGAAAATTAAAACAAAAAACTGGCACTTACTAATTATGGGAGACTTCAATGCAAACACCAATACTAAGAAAAAAAAATATATAATTTTTCCAAAATTACAAATTTCTAGCTTCTAAAGCTTATTAGAGTTTTACAACATATCAACTTCTACTTGGTAATGACAAGACCTTAGCAGCCAAATAGACGATATCTGGGCTTCAAGTGATATTCTACTTGATCTGAGTACTCCAACACTATCTAACGTAATCAGAATTTCAGATAGCAATCACAAAATAATAAATACAACCTGGTATATAAGATTCACTACACCATCAAAAAATAGAAAAAAGAAGAAAAGGAAGATATACCATTATGACAAGATGAAAGAGCAAAACTGGGAAGAATTTTTAAATATTATAGACACTCTTATGAATTCTTCTCCAAATTCAAAAAACTGTTCGGACTTAACTACTCTTAATAAGCTCTGCTATATCTGGTCTCAAAAGATAAAAGAAGCTATCAACAAACATATTCCTCATACACATACAGCACCTAAAACTTTTCACTTGATTTTATTAAAATCAATAAAGCTACATTCCACACTTACAAATATTAACAAAGCTATAAACCTACTAGCAACTAGGCCAAATACCCTTTTAGATATCTTGAACAAACATATTTCAAAGGCAGCATCACTAGCTAACTTAACTATTCCAAGTATAAATTAAGAAAAATATAATAATCGTGATAACAATACTATTGCTAAACTTAAAGAATATAAATATACAATCTGGCAAGTACACAATACGGAAAAGAGAAATGAACAGAATGAAAAAATCAAATTCTATACTAATCGCAGATATACTGACTTTAAAGATAATACTTCAAGAATGATAGACAGTATCCTGCAAAGATGCATAGACTAGGTCAACTACGAAAAAATTATTTCAAATAATGAATTAATAACTGAACCTAACAAGATTAAAGAAGCTACACAACAACACTTAAAAACTAGACAAAAGAAAACAAAA